ATTAAAATAAAATAAAAAAATTTATAAAAACTTAGGGACGGCCGTCCATGTTATATGGACGGGCGTCCATATGCTAGGGACGGTCGTCCATATAATATGGACGTCCGTCCCTATTAAAATAAAATAAAAAAAATTTACAAAAGCTTAGGGACGGCCGTCCATACATTATGGACGGCCGTCCATTAATTTTGGAGCTCTTCTTCTTCTTCTTCTTCGCTCCACTCCATCCCTGTAACACCTCAAATCCACTAAAGGTTATTTTTGTTTTGTTTATGCTGTAATTCAGTGGGAGGAACCCATAATTAGAATCAGAAAAACTTACCCCAATAGAAGAAAAACCCATAAGCGAAGAGCTCCAAATAGATATGCAAATAAACACTTTTTCTCTGAAATGAAAGCTGAATAAGAATCAAATTCTACGAAATAAAGATCAGAAAGAACAGAATCTCACAAGAATAAAAGTCATCAAAATAATAAAAAATATATAAATATAAAGTTCACAACTTTCTCTTAATCTCTCTGTATCTTTCTTCTTCTTGTCTTTCGGCAATTATGGGCAAATGGGAAGACAAAGACTTTAAAGTTGTTCTTCTTAGTTGAAAATGTTTTAAACTTACAGTGAACTTCAGTCTGTCTCTTGTAGTCTGTTTCATCTGTATTTTTGTTTTGTTTTGTTTATGTTGTAATTCAGTGGGAGGATTAGGATTGCTGCAAAATGGATTTGAGGTGTTACAGGGATGGAGTGGAAAGAAGAAGAAGAAGAAGAAAGTGTTTTTTTTTTTTAAAAAAAGTTTGGACGAAATGGACGCCCGTCCAAACTTAAGGACGGGCGTCCATTCCTAATGGACACCCGTCCAAACGTAAGGGACGGCCGTCCAAAATTTATGGACGGTCGTCCCCAATTTTTTATTTTTATTTTTATATTTTGTTCATTTTACTTATGGACGGGCGTCTGGTATATGGACCCCCATCCATATAATATGGACGGGCGTCCATGTGAATGAACGGCCGTCCAAATTTGATGGACGGCCATTCACTCGAAAAAAAATGTTAAAAAAATTAGAGGCGTGTTACACGTAGGGCGGTGCAAAAATCCCGGTGTCCATAGCATTATTGTTTCAAGATGATTATCAGACACAGTAGCATTAAAGCTCCCAATAATGCTACGGACACCGGGATTTTTGCACCGAAATATTATACCGGCCTACGTGTAACACGCCTCTAATTTTTTTAACATTTTTTTTCGAGTGAATGGCCGTCCATCAAATTTGGACGGCCGTTCACTCACATGGACGCCCGTCCATATTATATGGACGGGGGTCCATATACCAGACGCCCGTCCATAAGTAAAATGAACAAAATATAAAAATAAAAATAAAAAATTGGGGACGGCCGTCCCTTACGTTTGGACGGGCGTCCATTAGGAATGGACGCCCGTCCTTAAGTTTGGACGGGCGTCCATTTCGTCCAAACTTTTTTAAAAAAAAAAAAACACTTTCTTCTTCTTCTTCTTCTTTCCACTCCTAACACCTCAAATCCATTTTGCAGCAATCCTAATCCTCCCACTGAATTACAGCATAAACAAAACAAAAATACAGATAAAACAGACTACAAGAGACAGACTGAAGTTCACTGTAAGTTTAAAACATTTTCAACTAAGAAGAACAACTTTAAAGTCTTTGTCTTCCCATTTGCCCATAATTGCCTAAAGACAAGAAGAAGAAAGATACAGAGATATTAAGAGAAATTTGTGAACTTTATATTTATATATTTTTTATTATTTTGATGACTTTTATTCTTGTGAGATTCTGTTCTTTCTGATCTTTATTTCGTAGAATTTGATTCTTATTCAGCTTTCATTTCAGAGAAAAAGTGTTTATTTGCATATCTATTTGGAGCTCTTCGCTTATGGGTTTTTCTTCTATTGGGGTAAGTTTTTCTGATTCTAATTATGGGTTCCTCCCACTGAATTACAGCATAAACAAAACAAAAATAACCTTTAGTGGATTTGAGGTGTTACAGGGATGGAGTGGAGCGAAGAAGAAGAAGAAGAAGAGCTCCAAAATTAATGGACGGCCGTCCATAATGTATGGACGGCCGTCCCTAAGCTTTTGTAAATTTTTTTTATTTTATTTTAATAGGGACGGACGTCCATATTATATGGACGACCGTCCCTAGCATATGGACGCCCGTCCATATAACATGGACGGCCGTCCCTAAGTTTTTATAAATTTTTTTATTTTATTTTAATAGGGACGGTCGTCCATATTATATGGACGGCCGTCCCTTGCATATGGACGCCTGTCCATATAACATGGACGGGTGTCCATGTGAGTGAACGGTCGTCCAAATTGGATGGACGACCGTTCACTAGAAAAAATTATAAAAAAACTGAGGGACGCATTCCACGTAGGCCGGTACAGAAATTCGATGGACATTTTTCGGTGTCCGTAGTGTTATTGATAATATAATAACGTAATATATCAACTAATATGCATCAAGGTCGAGTTTTTTTATAGGTTATTTTGATCACCTTTCAATTAGAAAGTGTTAAAGATAGTAACAGACAAATTGGTCAAAGAATGAGTCAAATCTCATTTATTTTACCTCCAAGGTGAAGTAAACAATGTATATTTTATACATGTCCTAGTTGTAAGAACAGTACAAAAAACAAATGGATAGCCCACAATAGGCCAACAATTAATGAATAGTGTTGAAATCTGTAGCTCAGTGGCTCTTCCTATTGAGATTTTTGTAAATATAATTGTCAATTTGGGATAATAAAAAGTTTTTCTTAGACTATTTGGCCCATTGGGTAGAAATTTGATTCCAACAAGGAGAGTTTTCACAATGTGTTGATATCAAAATCCTACATCGATTAGGAGACAAGAGATGTGGTGGTTTATAAAATACAAATACACCTTTATATTGTGGGTTCAATTGAACCCACTCAACTTTAAAAAAAAATCTAAATGTTTTATGAATTTTATAATTTTATCCCATTTAATTGTTATTGACCCTACAAAAATGAATTATTAATTAACATTTTTTTAACTTTTTAACACTTGTTATGGAACTCACTTACTATATGTTTGGATTCGACATACATTGATAGTTGGAACTTATTTGTTTTGTAAGGCAAAAGTAATAAAAGAATATTGGTCGTAGGCTTGATTTAAAATTGCTTTTTGTTTTTGTTTAATTGTTCAATTCAATTTCTTGTTGATCCTTAGAGGTCATGCTCACAACTTACTTAATCCTGTCAAGGTTGATTGAATATCTTTAGTTATTGCGAGTTTTTGTAACACAATATAATGTTTAATGTCATTCGATTTAAAATAATTATGGAAAATGAATAATTTCATTCAATCTTCCACAAGATTAATTACTTACAGGAAAGAATATTTAAGACAATATTCTCTTTTTTTACCGTTTAATTATGTAATAAGATATGACTCCAAAGCAATAATAAAATATTTATCATTATTATAGATTCAAAGGATATCTATAAGATTAAAGGGCAAAAAAATCATGTTATTAATTATAAAATACGATCAACACATTAAAATTTATTTTTTGTAATAGGAATATAATTAATTTAAAAATACTTCAACTTACTTCAATTAAATGGAATTTCTTAAAAAACAAAAATTAAAAGATTGTCCCTTGATTGGGAAATCCAGTCTTAACGCTGGCTGTCAAACAAGTTATTTAATTTGTTTTATTTAATTATTTTCCAGTTTGGGGATATTAGTAACTTTAGGGGATATTTAATATTTTTCAAAATTGCTGGGGCACTTGGGATTTAATAGTAGGTAAGTTTTGCATTTTGTACCTGCGACTGAGATATATAAACACTCAAATGCTTTTTCCTTATTAATGAGGAATTTTTGAAGCAAACTCAACACTGTAACTGAAATGAAACTTACTTTTAAATGATAATGCAACAACCTTTAAGCTTGACAGTGCAAAACAAATTCTGACATAATTATGCATAGGCTTCTGATTATAAACAACATGCCATGTTTTATCTAATAGAGGAGAATAGTCAAAATCCTAGATTTGGCTCTCTAAGAAAGGTATTGGTTAGAGCAGATTCAGACACAAACGAAGCCATCAATAGACGTGAAGCCTGCCATCATAAAAATAATATCAGGTACGGATAAAATATGTAAATCTAAAACCTTACAACATAAAATCTAAAACCTTACAACATAAAAATAATATCATTGTTACTTTAAAGCTAATTCATTGTTACTTTAAAGCTAATAGGACTTCTAATGCTCTTGGTAGTATGAGAAAAAAACCTTAAAATACATGTATGATAGTTTATATTGTTCGGTGCATGCTGGGTGAATTTCTGTGATTATATCACAGAATAATGCTTTGCAATAAGAAAATAAAAATGATATATATAGTTGGTCTCATCATACTCTATGGTTTCAAATAGTAACATTCTAGCAGGTTAGGCAAAATCAAAGAAAAGTTAAATCATATGGGCTTGAATTTCGAAGAAATTCTTACAGGTTGTATGACAAAATCACCATGCGTTTCTATAAGAAGATGCCAAAATAGTAAAAAAATAAACTACTATCAGAAATCATGGGATGCTTTGTTAGAGTTTAATACTGAAATATTTATGTCAACTTACCTCCTCACTGCCCACATGCACAACACGCACCTCAATATCACTTAAAGGTAGTTTCAATTTCTTCAGAAGAGACAGACTTGAGATTTGAGATACGGGTGTGATGATCAAATTGTCGAATAAGGTAAACATTTTTGGTCCAGTCACAAATCCTCCATTTGTGGCTTCTTTAAAATGAGACTTAGGATCCTTGACGGTTAAAATTGAGCTTCTCCAAGAAGAAGGGATTTTACCATCAAGTGTCAGTTGAAATTGAGTTGGATAAGAATGATTATACTGCCAATATTCTCCATAAGAGTACGTTGGGTGCAAAGCTTCTTCAAGGCCTAAAGGATGCTTCTCATAGCTAAAATCAGGGGCGAGCTTTGGACTGATGAGCATATCCTTGTGATCATTAGATTTCAAGTATTTCTCAACATCGAGTTCCTGAACACTATTGTAAAGGTGAGTTAAGGATCCTTTTGAAATGCTACTCTGCATTTCTTTTATAATATAACCAAGTGGAATCGTGAGAAAACTGCAGACTAAATCAACAAATTTTTCTCTTGCTTCGGCATAACAAACCATATTCTTGGATTTGCTGATGATAAGCTTTACATGAATCCTCCCATCCACATTTGATTCTGATTCTTCTATTTTAGATTCAACATACATGTTCTGATCAAAATCTAATTTGTCATTAATATTCTCAGCCACATTTGATTCGGGTTCTTGTAATTTATATTCAACATAGATGTTCTGATCAAAATCTTCTTCGCCGAACTTTGGTGCTGAAATTTGTTTCAACAGAGTTTCTGTCAACGGTGTCTTTGACACTAGTGAGCACTTGAGCAAAGCGAGAACCTGAAAGAATGCATTAGGTTACGAACACAACCACAATTCAGCTATCTAAGAAATTGTGAAATTATTAATCATATTCAGAGAGCTAATATATTAAAAGATCATGGTAGATCAAATTCAGAAGCCCTACCATTTGCCAATTATAACTTTTGATTAGTTATCTTCTGACATTTTTAGCTTGAATGCAAACATTTTTTCCTCTCTTTTTTTTAATCCACATCATTTACTTCTAAAAAAGCAAACTGCGCTGAAGGTGAACTATTTCCAGGAGATGTTCATCATGAGTAAAAAATTGGTCTGATGAAGAAATAAATGTACCAAGTTCGATCATATAAATCCATTCTAACTAAAAATAAGTGCAAAATCTGATAAAATTATTAGATTTAGAATAAGAATTAAATAGTTACCTCATCTACTCCTATATCGATGTTGTGCTCCTCAATGGTGCTAAAGTCCATGTAACCTAGCTTGGATAATACAGAAAGGCTTGCATCTACTGATGAGGGCTTTACTTGTAATTCATCACTTATTATAAATTGGGCCAGTCCTTGAACAAACACTCCTCTATCTCGAGCATCAGAAACTAACTTTTGTATATTATCATTCTCTGACAACTCGATCGTCCTATCCATGAGCCCTCCACATTCGCAAACAGCATTAGGGTAGAGACTCAGTAACTTGTGCGTATTAAGGGTGCAATCCTCATTGCACAAGAAGTACCTCTGCAGCTCGCTATCGTCAATTTGCAATTTTAGTCTCTTGTTCTGAGGTGCAGCGCCGTTTTTGGGCCATAGCAACATGGTCTTGCATGCTTCATTCCGGAAACACAGCATGTCAAGATTCTTAATGCTTTCATACAAATTGTTCATGCAACCTATTCCCACAGGTGGTGGTTGATTATTATTAGAAAGAAGCCTGATGATTGTTCCCATGGGCATTGTCAAGAAACTAAAGAGAACATCAGTAAAATCCTCGTCTGTTTCCGCAAATATAACTCTATTGTTCTCTTTATCCACCAAGGCCTTCAAGCTAATTGCTTTTGCTTCTTCCTTAGCCATTGAGTATATGCTTTCAAATCTTGCTTTGATCAAATACTGAATACAACCTGCAAAATCAATGGTTAATCAATTACTTATCTAAGCCTGAAACCTTGTGTTAATACACTTCAAGAATTTCTGAAATCTATGCAAAAGCTCATCTTCTGGATAAAAGCATTTGTAATTATTGGATTTCGTAAACAAAATTTAATTGCAAAAAGTAGAAACCCAACAAATAGCCATTTTCTTGAAATAAGGAAAAGGATAAATTCATTCAAGCTGATCTCCACAAGGTTGGAAGATTTACGGACTTATTCTTAGTCCAGAATGTTCACATACATATTGTGCATGAATCCAACTCACGAATAGAGACAAATAAGAATCCAAAAACGTATCATTTATAAGGACATTGGTTAACTCTAAAATGCAAGTACATAGTTGACAGTTAGCATTACATCAAATTTAAGGACTTGTCCCGTTAGAGTGAGTTGAGTATAGCTTTCTGTTACTGAACCCGAAATCCATTTCGGGATGGGATTGGAAATCCTATTCTCCTTTCCACTCTCCCCCACTATTAATAACATATACACTAAGAAAAACATAAATCATTGAGCAAACTATTTTTTATACAAACTGTTACATGAACTTACTTAAATATGATGTGAAGTAATTGGTAAAGGAGTTCAATGGGCTAGAAAAGCAGATCATCAGAAAAATCAAAACTAAAATGGAGATGGGGAACCCAGAAGAAGATGGTGGAGATGTGTAATTTGATGATTAATTAAAGTTTACAAGTTGTAAAAATCTTCAATGTTTAGAGCTTTCTGGGATTGAAATAATATTTGATTAAGACATTCTAAACACTGATGAATAAAAGCTAAGATTAAATAACTAATACAAGTCATAATTCTACAGAGAACAGCCCGTATAGTCATGCAGCTAACATTAGAAGTAATTGATGTTATATGACGAAAACATATATAGTACCTGCTGATCACCCAGCTACTGTTGCTGGAGAGAAGTTCGATGAAGGATTCAGAGAACAGAGAGTGGAGAAAATCAAGTAGAAAAGAAGTATATAGTATTCTCAAGGCCTTTGGATGCCCCAATTACATGATGCCACGTGTCTAGTAATATTTCACCATCTCAAAATAAGAGTACTTTTGGATGCCTAAATTACATGATGTCATATGCCCAATAACATTCTATCATGTCAAAATAAAAGAATTATTTTTGGATGTCCCAATTATATGATGCCATATATCCAACAATAATCAAGTTTTTAATTAGACTTTTGAATGACCCAATTACATGATACCAAATGTCCAACAACCTTCCTACATGTCAAAATAAAGGAAATCTAAAGCTTCAAAATGGTTGTCATATAGGCTATGCCTTAAGATTTAATAATATATTTCACCATGTCAAGACCTTTGGATGTCCCAATTACATGATGTCATGCAAACCATTCATTGTTATGGTTATAATATCCCATTTTTCACAATAAGTTATTATTATTATTTTGTTACTAGGATTAAAGGATACAATTTTTTACAATTTTCAATTCCATTAATATTTTTTATAGGAAATTAAGGAACACTTGAGAATAGGTTTTTACATGTATTATTTATAAATAAATTTAGTAAATTCTCTCAAAAAGAGCCAAACTTATTATGTATTGTCGGTGACAGATTGCAGTTAGTAAATTAACACTCTATTCGTTTAGAAAATATATAAAACTCTTGAATTTCTGTTTGCGAGTTTTCAACATCAACAAAACGTAATTCTTAAGAATGTTAATTAACTCAAACTATAATCACATACCCATCACAATCAAATACTAATTAAATTAATTGGGCATTACATGCAATTAAACATATGCTTGGATTACTATGAATTTTAACTTTCTGAATTCTACTCAATTCCCCTTGATTTCGACCGTCGTAGAATAATTTTATCGTGGCCGTAATTTAGTTTTCTTTCTTTTGGCTGCCAATGGGCTATTATTTGCTAATTGGACATGGTTTATGTGGGTAATTGGATGTGGTTTTTTGTGATGGTCCAGCCCATTACTGATGTCTATTAGTTAAGAGTTTTAAAATTGAATAGATGGGAGCTTCAACCTCCTATTTGAAAATTTGAAGAGTGGTGTTACTTAAGTCCTCCTACATTTATTTGTAAATCTTATTAATTGTTTAAATTATTTTTGAAAATTAATTTATGAACATATTTTAATTATTCCAAAATTGTATTGTTGATATAAAAACTTGTACCAACCAGAGAGATATGATTGACCTTAACGAAATTGGAACCGATATGTGCGTGATTTAAGAAAATTAGCAATTGAATGTAAAAGTGCGGTAAAGTAAATAATACAAACAATTTTTTAAGTGGTTCGGCAAGTTAGAACTTAAGCCTACATCCACTGTTTCTCTTATTTCTTTTAGAGAGCTTACAAGAGAAATATAATATGCCTAGAACAAATTGTTCAACCCCCAAAAAACAAGTTATGATGGGTTTCTATATCACCCATTTACATAATAGAGTTGAGGTAAGATTCAAACACGTAGGATTAGGAAGTTATATGATCTTCATCTTCCCTAGTTATAATATAAGTCAATCTGAATATCTTCCTTCCAAATTGAACTAATATAAATATCTTATATTCTAATAGGGAATTATCCTCTTCGGATTTCCCGCACAACAATAACCCTCCAATTTTTTGAGTGCGAGTTCAAACTTCAAAAACTATGAGCTTCAAAAACAACAAGCTCAGGAACGAGGAGCTTTAAAACGAGAAGCTCCAAATGATGAGCTTTGAAAACGAGCTCTACAATGCAAGCTCTTAAAACGAACTCTACAACATGAGCTCTTAAAACAAGCTCTAAAACAATGAGCTCTAAAACGACGAGCTCTAAAATGGCAAGATCTGAATTGATAAGCTCTGAAATGACGAGCTATAAAATGGCGAGCTCTAAAACGATGAGCTCTCAAAACAAGCTCTAAAAATTTGAGCTCTCAAAACAAGCTCTAAAATGTGAGCTCCTAAAATAAGCTCTAAAATGGCGAGCTCTAAAACGAAGAGCCATCAACAACAAGCTTTGAAAACGAGCTCTAAAATGACAAGCTCTCAAAACAAGCTGTAAAACGATGAGCTCTAAAATGATGAGCTCTCAAAACGAGCTCTAAAATGACGAGCTCTGAAACAACAAGTTTCGCACTTTCATTAACAAGTTTGGAACACACCTCAATATTTTAATGATAACTAGAGTTGTAGACCTCATATTTGGATGATTCTTGGACCATTAGAAAGCTTACTCAAAGGGCTACAACTCTTATGTTTAACATTGCATCATATTCAGACTGTATCATGCTCGAGCTTGTGCTTTCATTAACAAGTTATGGCGACTTCACTCTCTCATTAATGAGTTATGGCGAGTTCGTGCTCTCATTAGTGAGTTATGGCGAGTTTGCGCTCTTATTTATGAGTTATGGCGAGTTCACACTCTCATTAACTAGTTATGGCAAGTTCGTGCTCTCATTAATGAGTTATGGCGAGTTTGGAAAATGCTTTAGTAATTTGACAATAACTTGAGCTGTAGACCTCGGATTTGGACGATTCTCAAACTGTTAGAAAGCTTACTTGAAGATTTACAACTCTTATGTTTATCAGTTTGCTAGACTCATACTTTATCATGCTCAATACTCCCCATCTGACAGTGACTTCAATTCCAAAGTTGGATTTGGTGACATGGGTTGTAGCCATGGCTAGTTTTTTGCAGTTGGAAGATGGAAAAGAAAATGCTGGAAAACAAAGAGAGCTCGGAGTGTTTAAGCTCCTCCTTCTAGCGCTAAAATGTTGATACGAAAACTTGTACCAATCAGAGAGATCTGATTGACCTTGACGGAATCGGAATTGGAATCGATGTATGCGTGATTTAGTGTAAACCAACAACTGAATAATTAAAGAGCAAAAATGAGTGATGACAAGAGGCAATTTTTAAAGTGGCTCGGCGAGTTTGAATCTTGAGCCTACGTCTATTGTTTCTCTTACTGAATGAGAACTACAAATTATGAATCTTTTCCTAGAATAATGGCCCAACCCCTCTAAAAAAAGTTATGATGGGTTAATATAACACTCATTTACATGATAGAGTTGAGGTAAGATTCGAATACGTAGGATTAGAAAGTTGCATGATCTTCGGCTTCCTTAGTTAAAATCCAAGTCAATCTAAATATTTTCCTTTCAAATTGAGTCAATCTAAATATCTTCTCTCCTAATAGGGATTATCCCCTTCGGATTTCCCCCACAACATGTACATATTTAATATTTCTCTCTGTGAATTCAATGTATAATATCAATGTTTTAATAATCGGCCCAGGATGAAACTCGGTAGGATGTCTTGAAACACCAGCCAAACACACGCAATAAAATAAATAAAGGACACTTGATTTACGCTGGTTCATTCCGATTAAGGAACTACGTCTAACATTTGAATATAGATTTTATTGAGTTTCATAACTATGCAGAAATTACAAATCAATAATTAATGGCAGGTCAAATTGGGTGAACTGTTATCCCCGATTTTTCACCCTGACCAGCCCGACTCAGTGGCCGGTTCTTGGTCCAACCGGTTAAACTGGTCGGGCCGGGGCAAATTTTAAAACATTGTATAATATATTTTTGCGCCCCAATCTGCATGACCACTTTTCTTTGATAATAATTTCTTTTGGAGGACTTATTGGTTATTCCTTTTCGTTGGTCATATCTTCTTGTTCTATTTAATATTTAATTTATGAAACGAATCAATTATGGCTATTCCCATTGATCACATAATATATATATAACATCTTATTTCATTGAAATAAAGAGTGGAATAAGTAATTCATGAACAGTATTAATTGTGATACAAAGGTGTTTTTTACTAATTTTAAATTTAAATTATATATATAACTTTAAAAAATTACTGATGGGGTTTACAAAAGATTTAACGGGCTTAAATAACATTACTCCTCTTAAA